GGTAAGTTTTTCTCAACTACATATTCTAATTTTAAAATTAATCAGATCCCAATTTTTAACTATCAGCAGAGTGTAAATGTGAATAATTATAGTATTGAGGTCTCTGACATAATTGATAGTGTTTTAAAGATGCCTTGGAAATTATCGCTTGGACCAGATTGTTTGCCAGCTTATGTTCTCAAGCATTGCATTTTCACTCTTGTAAAACCTATCTGCTACTTATTTAATTCCTCATTGAGTACCGGCATCTTTCCTGATCTTTGGAAGACTAGTTATTTAACACCAATTTTCAAGTCTGGTAATAAAAATGATGTTGGGAATTATCGAGCGGTTTGTAGCCAATCTGTATTATCCAAACTTTTTGAGTGTCTTGTAAATAACTTTTTGACATGGAATTGTAAAGATTTAATTGATGTTAGACAGCATGGCTTTTCTAAGGTAAGTCTACATGCACGAACTTAATATTGTATACGAATTTTATAGCTAATTCAGTAGAACAGAAGGGTCAGGTTGACGCTATCTACACAAACTTCTCAAAAGCCTTCGATACAGTTAGCCATGATCTGCTTATTGCTAAATTAAATGGCTATGGATTTGGAGGTAAAATAATTGAGTGGATAGGTAGTTATATATCGGGTAGATGTCAGTATGTTAGATATGGAAATTTTTTATCTCAACGAGTATCTGTAACCTCAGGAGTTCCTCAGGGGTCGCATATTGGGCCTCTCTTATTTAATATATTTGTTGATGGTATATCCTCAGTGATTAAAAATAGTAAATTTCTAATGTTTGCTGATGACCTTAAAATATTTCGAATAGTTAATGACCTAGTTGATGCCTCTTTATTACAGAATGACATTAAAAGCTTAGCTAGTTGGTGTGAGGTAAACATGCTATACTTAAATATACAAAAATGTTTTAAAATTACTTTTGGAAGATCTAGAGAGTTTGTAAATTATGATTATTGTATAAATAATGTACCTTTAGATGCACGTCATAATATTAAAGATTTAGGTATAAATTTTGATTCTAAACTAACTTTTAAATATCACATTAACGAAACTTCAGCTAAAGCTTTAAAACTGTTAGGATTTATTCTTAGAAACTGTAATCAGTTTTCAGTACAAACTTTAAAAATGTTATACTTTAGTTTAGTTCGATCAGTTTTGGAGTATGGTTCTCTCATTGGTCTCCTTCATATAACAGTGACATCAACAGTATCGAGAGAGTTCAAAATAAATTCTTGAGGGTATGTGCTTACAAAATTGGTTTTATTAGATAGCAATACACATATGATGATATACTGTCAATACTAAATATCTCATCACTACATGATAGAAGATGTCAAGCGGATTTATGTTTCCTTTTTAAAATTTTAAATGGATATGTTCAAGATCCAGAGTTACTAAGTTTAATAAGTTTTAATGTTAATACTAGAAGAACTCGTAACACTGAGATTTTCAACATTCCATTCCACAGTACGAATTATGGCCAAAATGAACCCATTACAAGAATTTTACGAACTGCCAATGAGCACAGCAATAGTTTAGAGTTATTTGGAATATCTACAGCAACATTTAAGAAATCATTTGAGAGATTTTGAGCATTATTTAATAACTTAAGCTACTACTTTAATTGAATTTTGTTTGATTTTAATTTTGGTTTGTTTTTTATTAACGCAACCTATGTATAAGTTTTGTAAAGGTTGACTTCATATTTCTGTAAAAATGGTATATCAGTTAATTAAATAAATAAATGATTTTGCAGTGAAACATATTTATTAAAGTGGCCAAAGAAAATTATTAAGAAAAACCGCTGTTCCTCTAAAATTAACACAGTTAGCAACTGATCTAGATGAGTACTTATATCTTAAGAAACATTTTTGTTTGCCTAGCGCGCTTTGTCAGTGAAAATAATACTTATATTAAAATATATTTTTATATAAAATCAGTTGATATTGAATTTGAATATCAATCGCTTGTTCGTATCACTGCTGATATAAAATGGAGATGCTTGTTTGACTTTAATTAAAATTACACATAAAATTACACACAAATTTTAATTACCTATTTTAGGTGATACCACCCCGGTATGCTCTACAAACGTTTACTGCGGTACGAAACGTAAAAGATCCTGGTACAAATGGCGATTGCACGGTTGGATCAACTCTATCGCCTAAGAGATCAAGTAGTACTGTGAGTGATATTTCCAGTTTTGTGATTAATCTGTCTACAAAACTTAAAACTGAGTTGACGTAGAAGGTAAAACAATAATTGGAGTATCAAGCAAATATTTTAAAGAAGAAGTACCGCCAGAAGAATAGTTAGTTTTGCAGAAGAAGAACAAAAATTAAAAAATTGGAAACAAAATTCATGTTACAGGTACTATTAGAAAATAAAAGTAAATCCGTGCACACTTATCTTAATATGTAGTTTTCACATAAAACTCGTTCACAATGGAGTGTCAGATAAAAAGATGCAGCTCTGGCCATTTATTATAAGTCTTCCTAGTTGTTATAAGAAAAACATCGTATCTGGCCACATACTTCTTAACGATAAATACTTTCTTATACACGTCATCATGCAAGGAAGAGCAAAGGGAAGAAAAGGCTTGGGGAGAAAGAAGAAATCTTGGCTGAGGAATACCTGAAATTTTCCTAACCTCAGTATTGAATAGATATTTCACATTTCAAAAAATAGGGAAGCATTTAAAGAAGTGATCGCCAACCTTCGTTAGAAAACAGCACAATAAGTAGAAGAAGACTAAATCAAAAACTACACAAGAAAGCTCTGAAATTAGTATTTCCACCACCAAAGAAAAAACCCAGTAAAACACAAAAAAAAACTCCCAAACACATAAAAAAAGGAATAACACCAGCTTTCAGAACAAACAATATCTAAGGCAAATATATTAAAAACAACAAGAGCCACAATAAAAAGCACTTACACAGTGGTGTATACAAACCTAAAATATGGCGCATTTCCAAAAACTTACAACGGTCAAACTGCTAGAAATTTTAATAAACAAATAGCAGAACATAAAAGGTCTTTCAATAATAGAAAAACAGATTCTACATACGCACTTTCACCTTCTAGATTATAATCATTCTTTTAATGACGAATTTTAAATTCTTCACATTCAAAATAAAGGCCTTAAGCTATCTTTGTCAGAATCTATGGAAATCAATAAATTAAAAAACACAGACATAATTCTGAATGACCAACTTGAGACAAACAGTTCTCCCCTTTTCAACCTATTTCGGTAAAGACCATAAAGTGTAACGACATACTAAAAACACTCGTAGATCACTTAAAAAGGTACTCTGCCGAAACTGCTGTAGTGATAAGATTTTGTAAAAAAAATTGTGGAAGTTTTGAAAACAAAGTTTTCAGTTTCAAATATCAGTTCATTCTTTTGTTGGAATCTTTCAATTTGGACCGACTTTTTTTTTTTTCGTCACTTTCATCACTATTTGAGAAACTGAATTTAATTCAATGATTTGAACAGGATTTAAAATATCAGCTAGGGCATTTCGCCTTTCAGTACGTCCAGAAGATAAAGTTTTTCATTAGCAGCCTGTTCTTCTGGTGTCACAGCAGAAATCTAATTTGTATTACTTGGACCTGCACTACTTTGAGATGCCTCCATCTGCCAGCATTTGTAACACTGAGTTTCTTGTAAAATTCTTTTTTCTTCTTCTTCCTTCTAGTATGTAGGCTTTAAAGCCTGTTTCTTCTTCAATATTAGCCTCCTAAATTGTCGCACCATCTTTTTCTTGGTTTGCCAATACTTCTTCGTCCATTTCGTGACTTATCTCGTGCTATGTGTACTATTCTATTCATCTGCCAATGATATTCAGTCGACGTATTTTCATCCATCCTGTTTGTTTTCTTGCAGTCGTCTCTTTTAGATGTGTCAGGTCTTGTCTCCGCCGTGTAGTTAAAGGTCTTGTCCCGCCGGTAGTTAATATGGCTAATGCTGCTTTATAGATTCTTGTTTTTGTGTCTTGTCTTAGGTGTTTGTTCTTCCAGATTGTGTCATTAAGAGAACCCGCCGCTTTACTTGCTTTTAAGCTTTGTTGTCGTACTTCTTCTCTAACATCTCCGTAACTAGTTATATGAATTCTTTTTTCAATTTGGATATTTGCTTTGGGATTTAACAAAACGCACATTCTTTGGTGCATTACACTACAGAGAAACACCTACCATGTGTGAATGCTTATTTGAAAAATTACCGAAAAATTCACTCAGAGAGGAAGATATTTCAAAAAAAAGAAAAAGTCGGCCAAATTGAAAGATTCCAACAAAAGTTTTCAGTGTTTTATTGTTACCTAAAATGAATTTTTATCAAGTAACGATTGAATCCGTCAATTATTTAGAAGTAGTAGTTGTTACAAAATATTTAATCAGATCTCTTACATTTAAATTACCATTAAAATCGATAAATGTAAAAACAATTCAAACTTAGTTGCATGTCATAAAATGAGAAACTGGTTTAAACACTTCCTTAATGGACAAGTTGAAAAAAACGCAGAAACAGTGGACGACTGGGAAGAATTGGTATGTTAATGTTTGATGAAATTTCTTTGAAAAAACAATTGGGTACAAAAAATTGATGGTATTATAGAAGGATTTTAAGATTTAGGTGCTTCCGGAAGAACAAACAAACTTGCCAACACAGGTCTGGTTTTCATAATGCGTGGCTTGCTACATAACTGGAAAATTCCGATTTACTGTAAAATATAATGTAGGCACCCACACTTGAAACTACCTGCTTCTTCAATTTTATTATTCCATGGCGATTGCGAAAAAAACTATAAATTTTTATTAAAGATAAACGATACAGACACATAAAAATCGACTAATTATAAGGGTAGAAAGAATATTCACCACCAACCTGTCAAAAGGTGCGTCAATAAAAAGGGCCCGAAGTGATTAACTTGCATGGTCGAGTGCAGACCGTCATCGGTGTGTTTGTTGCCATTGCTCAGCACCCTCGCGTTATTTATCAAAATGTCCAATCTCTCCTCTGTCGAGTTTATTTCCTTGGCAAACTTCCTCACTGACTGCAATGAAGTTAAATCGAGGATTTTCGTTTCGATGTTTGGAATTGTTCGTAATGGCTATTATCTTTGCCTTGGCTTTAGCAGCTTCTTTTCTGTCGGCGAGAATTACTCGGCAGCCTCTTGAGGCGAGTTGGAGGGCGGTTTCGTATCCTATTCCTGCAAAATAAATATAGCTCTTTAAAAAAACAGGATTATGTTAATAACTACAGATTAAAATTTAAAGTTTATGTGAAACAGCTCAATATACAACATATACAACGGGACAGAAAAAATTTCAGTAAAAAGTACCAGTAATTTTAATCAATGATTGAATAAATGTTATGATAAAACTTAAGTTGCAGATATATTGAAATTAAAGCATATACATTTATAATATATCAATTTTTCAGTTTTTTTCATTTTTTCTATACAGTGATAACTGATATATTATCAGTAGTAATACCCCTAGGACATTTATAACAGACGAGATAATTTCATGACAATCGAAAGCTCGTTCCTTTGGTAACAGCACGAAGCCGAAGGCTGAGTGTTGTTACCAAGAAACGAGCTTGAGAAATTTGTCATGATATGTCAGAGGGATATTCGGCGGATAATTTTTCGAAAAAAAAAATCATAACTCAACATAACGAAACATTTATTATTAAAAGTACAGTTAGTGAAAGTACAATTATTTAAAATTTAAGTTAACATTAGATTCCTTGCTGTTCTCTACTATAGAAGATCTATTACCACGCATAATATTTATAATCTTGTTGTGGTGTTAATTTTGACATTTTGAAATTTATTTGGATGAAGTTGTCAAACTCGATCGTGTTGTCATCTTCTACTTCTTCTTCGACTAGCCATTCACGTCCACATCTGAACATAAGCCTCTTCAAGTCTTCTTTTCCATTGTTTTTTATTGTACGCTACTTGTAGCCAATTTTTTCCGGCAGTCCTTTTCAGATCATCTGTCCATCTCATAGGAGGTCTGCCTCTGGTCTTTTGTGTTGGTATGGTCTCCAGGTTAAAAATTGATCTGTGCCATTTGTTTAGATCGCTCCTAGCTACATGGCCAGCGTATTCCCATTTCAACTTTAATTATTTTTGCACCATATCGGTGACTTTGGTTTTCTGTCTTTATCCATGTGTTTGTTTTCTTGTCCTTAAGTGATATACCTAGCATTGTTCTTTCCATCGCGGTGTTGAGTGACTCTAAGTATATTCATATTCTTTTTTGTGATTGTCATGTTTGTGCCGCATAAGTTAATATCGGGATAATGCATGCATCAAAAACTTTAGATCTAAGATATAATTGAATTTGTTGATTTCTGAGTATATAGTTCAGTTTACCGAATGCTGCCCAAGCCAACTTTCTTCTTCTTTTTATTTCTTCAGTTTGAATTTCCCTATTTAGGATTATTTATCGTGCTGTCATAGGGATTGAAAAATTTCCCTAAATGCAATTATCAGTCTAATGTTGACGTGATTGGGTGAAAACTGTTCCATATGACACAAAATGACGAAATTTGAATGGTTGTTAGAACAGTCGAAAAATTATCATTTATAATATATCAGTTACCACTGTGTAGAGTCAAACTGAATAGAACCAAAATAATTATACATTGGATACCATGGTGTTACGACCAAAAAAGAGAAATATAATTTAGAGAGTCAGATGACATACAACAACATGATGAATCGACGTAAATGCAAATAGCTCAAGATATAGAAATATAGAAGACGCTTATGTCTTAAGTTTATTCGTTATGTGAAAAGAGGAAGGTTTTCATTTATTAGGAAAACTAACTTAAACGATTTTGATATGATTTTGCGATTATATTTTCTTGTTGCTTTTGCCTTCGGTGTTTAATGGTGACGATGTTAAAGCAGATAATCATCATCATCAATCTGTATGCATACACTACTGGACATAGTCTCTCTTCCTCTCTCAGTTCTTTTCATTTGTCTCTGTTTTGTGCGACTTGCATCACGCTTCAGGTCGTCAATCCATCTAGTTGGTGGGCGTCCTTTGCTGAGTAGTGCTTCTTGTTTTGGTGGCAGCAAAAGAAACACTTCTTTGGCGACGAGTCCTGTCTAATTCTATTTTAGCGACGCAATTTTTTAATTGCGTCTGTTGTTTTTTCTCGTTATTGTTGTAATTTCTTAATACGTCTTCTTACGTTTCTTAATTCTTCTAATCTTATTCACTATCTTTTTTGTAATATTAATGTTTCCGCTCCATAAAGTGAATAAAGGCAATACACATTGATCAAACCGTTTCTTTTTAAGGCATATGGGTAGGTACGATTTAAATCCATAGTTTAATTGACCAAACGCTGCTCAGGCTAATCCTATGCGACCGTTAGTAGTTTTGGTAACATCTTACAGAATACTAGTAGTTTTTACTTAAAATCCAAATACAAATATCCTGAAGTAAAGCAAGCACAAACAATTGACTATAAACAAATGAAAACATAATTAACTTTGAGCATTTCGTACTGTAAAGTGGTCAAAAACGGATATTAAATATCTTTAGTGAAAAATTAGACAAGGGCACAAAAAGGGAAAAACATTACCACGATATTTAGGGCGAAGAGGACTTATGGACACATGTGAACAACTGGAAAAAGAGTTTGCTAATTTAAAAACCTATTATCCGAAGCAAGCTGCAGATATCGACTTAAAATCGCGCAATTTGCGTAGTAGGTGATACAACGCTGCTTCAACTGAGGGAACAAGAAATTCGCATAAGCCACCTGTCTAAGCAAGAAAAAATGAGCACCTGGATGAGTAAACCTCTGCATGGGCGACGTCTTAAAAAGATCAGCCAAGACTATGTCAATACTACAGCTATTGGCTCGCATCAGAAAAGATGTTTCCTGGCCAGGTTATTCGAACTAAAAATTACCAAAAATATATTGTCACAGACGGTCAGGTTTCAAATCGACATATACTGATATTGATGTCAAGCCCAAGAAACTATCCAACGCATGATTAGGGGCTGCCAAGGGTTTGTCGGAACTGATTATAAAAGAACTCCATAACTCTGTAGAAAATACCATTCATTAATAATTAGCCACAATCTCCAGACCGATCACATCAAGCTAAACGACAACTGCAAGCTATATTTGGATCGCACTATGCTCACAGACTACACAGCAGAACATAATAGACCTGATCCCATACTAGTTAATAATGAACAAACAATAATAATACATGTGGCGAATCCTTGTTTCTCTTCTACTTGGTTAACATGACTTTGTCTATTGTTTAATTTACCTCCACTAAGTTGTCGTTCCATCGTTTTCATGGTCTTCCCACTGATCGTCTTTCGATTAGGAATCCGTCTCTCACCATCTTTACTACATCTTGCTTCTACCACTTGCATCTTCGTAGTATTTCTGTACTGCTAGGTCTGTCCCATAGTGTCTTCGATAAGGTGGCTATACCTAGCACCAATAATCTGCGTGTTTAATACAACGAAAAGATTGCCAAGTACAGAGATCTGGAAATACAAATACGGAGACAATGGAGAATGAAAAGGTTCCAGACAGTACCTATTCTTCTATTACTGATGTTTTACCCAAAAACCTTCTAGAAAACCTAAAACAGCTGGATCTAAGTAAACATCCTTATAAGATTATGCAGAAAGCTGCAGTAAGTACACTTGACGTCTAGATTGGTCGCAAATTTTTGGGTAATACTCAAGCATACCATATCACCTACAAATCGATCACACGGAGAGAGTCTCACCAGAGTTTAATCCTTTTGATACTGTGGAATCTTGAAAAAGTGATTTTTTTCCCTTAGAAGAAGTTTCAGCTATATAGCTTGTATCTGGATAAAAATAACAAAATAACTTAATGGTAAACTTGATTTCTGTATTATTTTTGACGAAAGAGTAAAAAAACTTAATCTATTTTTTAACCCTCTTTTAATTTTTTCAGTCTAACTATAATCAGCCGTTTTAAGTGCAACAAACCAGAGTAATATAAGAAATTTTAAAGATACAGTGTAGAAAATATTCTAATATAATTCTCGATGTAATCATGACACTATTAAAAAAGAAGACAAATTTATTTTGATTATTATTAAATAGTAATCTAGGTTAAAATATACAAATTACTAATACCACACGCAAAGAAGATCTCACATTAATAGAAAGTAAAAAAATTGTTTGAAAGTTTATAAAAAAACTGTCTCTTAGAGAAATGAAAGTTTATCGAATAAACTATTATCTGAAATCAGTCATCAGTAAATTGGATATAAGTGTTTCAGTATTTAAAACATATTCTTTTTGTAATTACTGCTACTCGCATATCCGCAACCATTCTCGCCTATACAATTTACTACTTTTTGCAATCAATCAATTCCTTATAAGTTGTTTTTTCGAAAAAGCTGCCTTTCACTTTATCTGTACAACGAATACACAAGCACTTTTATAGTAGTAGCTTGTATTATGGCAAAAATGAAAGTAAAATAAAAATGGACACTATTATAATAAACAAAAGATCAACTAAAGAGATATCAGAAAACTATGTTACCAAATACTGGAATTAGAGAACAAATTGGTACTATTGTAATAAATAAACGATCATTTTAAGAGATGTTAATAAAACTGTTTTACTAATTACTAAAATTAATCTTTAAAATCTAGGTTAGAAGGTATGTAGAAAGCATCATAAATAGACAAGCTCTGAGATACTAAGAAAGTGATTTAGCATGCAGCACGCAGATTCTGCGAAAATACAGAGAAAGCAACCGAAAATCTTGTTTGTACTGCAGAATAATTATTCGTAATGTCATTAATAGCTGTATCCAATCTATCTGAAATCTGATCAGATAAAAAACGTATCTCTGAAACGAATACTTAGCTGTTTTAGAATTTTTAGAAGCCTAGATCTTTTGGAGTAAAATATACCTAAAATATTTTTCAGATAGTGGTGTAGAAACATCTCTAAGACCAAATGATTTCCTTAAAATCTATAATTTGAATCTAATGAAAGTCAGTATCCTGAAATTACTAGATGTGTGTCTAAAGCAAACAATTTTGGGCCGAAAAACCTTTTGGTCCTGATTACCTTGCCATTTTCTGCTAATAACATTGTTCTGTATGAAATTCATTTCAGAAAGAGTTTCTAGATGATTTGATGTAAATATACAGTGCTTATAGTACAGTAATATACAGTACTGATACTTATATCAAAGAAAAACTGTTTTTTTTAAACTCTCATGTAATCTAAGATAAATGGTGTCTGCATGCTTTGTATCTGGATTTACTGCCCAGAGCATCTACTGGGTAGCCTAATACTAGGTCTTACTTGGTCGTATAGTAAACCCAACATTACATCTTTAGTTGATTTTTTCTCTTTCGTATTTTCATGGTGTGATAAAGTAGTTATATGGCTCTGTAATTTAAATATCTCCTTTAACTCATTTTAGTTCATACTTCTTCATTGATATCATCTGATTCAACTGCTTTATCTTTATTTTTTGCATGCTTAAGCAATCTTCTCGTCTGCTAGTGTAGTCATCTAATTTGATTAAAATCTTCCTTCTTTATTTTGCTCAATGTCTTCTTTTTCAATAGTGGGAGTAGACTATCTTTTTTATAATTCTATATTTTTTTACCTCTTCAGTACAAGCCGTCTTTTAAGAACAATACAGAATAAAATATCAGAATGTTATTTAAATGACATGTAAAACTGAAAAAATACTTATGTCGAGATACATCCTACATTACCGTTTCCATTACAATATATTTTTAGTTATGCTACTTCAAAATTCTTTTAAACAAGTGTTTTTCTTTATTTCTTGTTAAAATTGGCACTGCTCAATCCTCATCACGTAGATGTAATTAAAACTCTTATGGATAATTACATTTTTTTCTTACAACTTACAAAAAGAAAACTACATTAAAGTAAGTGTTTTGTTTCATCATTTTCGTGGTCTTCCTACTGATCATTTTACTATTGGGGAACCGTCTCTTGCCGTCTTGACTCTATTTGTTCTCATTCTGCTTATATGATCATTCCATTCTACGCTTCTATTTCTTACCCAGTGCTTGATGTTCACCACCTTGCATCTGCGTCGTATATCTAAACTTTTAGCTCTATCCTAAGTGTCTTACCATCAATTTTTTTAATTTCACTGGAGTCACTTCATGGAATATCATATCGCTGAATTCAAAGGGCCAAGAAATAACACAAGTACCGAAAGAGAAACAAGAAAACGTTTCGACTCTACAGGACACAATAAAGAAAGGAAAAAGACATTTAAAATTAGGTGAATGTATACTAATCTACAGTGGAGTAGCAAACAAAAACAGGGCCAAAGAAGGTGTGGTCTTATTAATACACCAAAGGTACGAAAACCACATCAAATAGTGCCAATACATATTAGAAAGGATTGTAACAGCAAAGATAAGAATGAAGAAGGAAGACCTGAACATAATCGAACTATACGCCTCAGAAAATAACAAGCCTCATACAACAAGGAAAACATTTTATGACGAATTACAACAAGTAGTAAATCAAGTCAGAGATAATATGATAATATTGGGGTACTTTAACGCTCGAATGGGCAAAGCAGTAATACCCGGAATAAAGCAAAAATATAACCAGAATAATTTAAACTGAAAAATAGCTTAAGATTGATATTATCATTGAAGAATAGGAATTTTATTTTAAGGAAGGTCTAACGAGCTGACTCGGTTAGATGTCTGGTTTACTTATCGGGGTCCACTTGCTGCTTTTCCAAATATTTTAAAAAATTATTCTTTCAACTGGTTGTCGATAGAGATACAAGCTGGCATCAGGATGTGGATTTCGTCTTAAGATCACAAATTGGTTCTTATTCCAATTAATTTTTATTCCAAGTAATTAATCATAAATACAAGATATATAATAATGAAAAGGTAAATGATAAATAAATTCTATATTATTTTAAACAAATTTTGAAAATTATTAAAACTAATAAACTAAATTGTTAAAGAAAAAATTAAGATTTTTAAAAATTTAAAAACTTAAATGTGTAGTCCTATAATCAAAAATATTAACAATTCAGTAATAGGTAGACATAAATTTCGTTAACTTACATAATATATCAAAAACGCGCTATAAAAAGTATTCACTTCTGTCGGCACTCCCCAAAAGTGAGACGCTCCGTTATTTTTTCAAATCATGTTTGCTCTACTTTGGACTATTTTATATATTTTCTTTTTACCCTGTGAGTAAGGTCAAGTTCAATACACAACAAGACTAGATAAAACAAATAAAATACTAATGATGTATCCTAAAAATATCTGAACCAACTTCATATTATCTAAAATACTAAAAATATAAAGTAAACATACAGCTAACAATAGACTCAGTAATGAGAGATTTGGACATTCCAACCACCAAAAAGGTAAAAATGAAGAAACTGGCACAAATCGAAAGAATTTTTTTTAATTCTTAATGGGCTAGTTATTAACTATCATTTCCTTACAAGACATTGATGCATTCCAAAAATTCAGAATTGACAGAAGTTAGATCTTATTATTAATGTTATAATATCTTCGTTAAAAGTTTTTTCTTCCCGTACTGGTACTAATAGCTCTACTATTCCGGAATTAAACAATTTTCTTTTTAAAACATTACTTAAATCATAGAATATAATATTAGTATTTTTATAATAACTAAAAAAGAAGTTACCTGAACTAGCTCCAGTCACAATGGCCGTTTTACCACTTAAGCAAACCAAACTTCGCACTTTTCCGGCACTGAACTTTTGGAAAAATTTCAAAACAATTAACGCTATGAACGGTAGTGATATGGCGATCACAGCGAAAGCTATATACTTGATATATATCGTGTAATTGTAGACGATCATCTTCAGAGATGTTCTTCACTGGTCAGTATCAAGTCGGCAACTAACGAGAAAGAGCTGTGGTGAAAGTTTATGAAGAAGTAAAGAAAGTCTCTAGAATCGCGAACCTACACACTATTGGAGAAATGGTACCCGTTATAAGAGATTGTTGAGACACGAGCGCCGAGGTTGTCATTTCTGTTTAAGGAATTTTTTATATTCACAATTCATTTTATGGACTTTAGATGAATTAAATTGTTACTATACTTAAAAAATTGTCGATAACGAATAAAGTTTTATAAATTTGTTGCTTATATGGTATGCTTGCAGAAAACAGAGATACTGCTACTCGCTAATGGTTATCTTATTTGTCATTCATCCAGGCTTTTGTTTCAGAGAATTTAAATCGGTTGAAAGTCCTTTGCTCAGTCCCTTGGCGACAACGAAGAAGTATTAAATATCTATTATGTTCTAAATGTCATCCAAATATTCCTAAATGTCTCGTTAGGTTTGGATTATCGTACAAGAAACATCAGTTAAGGACAAGATTGTTTGCCGGTTATAAAAATTAACATTTTTCTTTGGGAATCATTTTAGAGAATTTTAAAGACTTTCAACAGTTTGGATGACTCATTTTTTCTGGAGAAATTGAAAGATGTCTACATAGGGAACCGGCTTATAATTGAATACTAAACAGTAATTTAAAAAACAAGGAACATTGAATAAATCTTACTTAACAGGACGTAAGCAAAAAGTAGTTATAGAACATCAAGGAGTCAAGTACTTCTCCGATGAGTGCTTTTTTGCTGTAGGCATCCCACAGGGCAGTACTATGGGTCATTGGTTATTTGTTTTTAATATTAATAATCTAGCTATGCACATTATAAAAAATAGGGACAAAATTCATCTAATAAATTTTGCCGATAACACGAATATATTGATCTTAGGATCGTCTTTGAACAACCTTCTGGACATTGCAAATGATACTTTCGAGATGGCTCAGATGTGGTTCCATATAAATAGACTGAAATTAAATCAGGAGAAAACAAATCATGTGATTTTCAAAACTAGTATGATTAACAGTACCATACCAAAGAATGTTCAAACACAGAAGGATTAAGTGTTTTTATTGAACACGAAATTTCTGGGTATACTCATCGACCAGAATTTAGACTTCGAAATACAGGTTGATAAATTATGCGCTAAGCTAACGTCAGCATGATACTCTTTCAGAGTAGCATCATGATATTTAGATGTTACCTCAAAACGAGCTGTCTATTTTGCTTCCACTCACTTATAAGATTTGGGATAATTTCTGTGACTTCTAAAACAAGTGAACAAGTTTTTATTACTCAGAAAAATCTAAAAAGTCATTTAAAAAAAAAACATTTACGGTCCCTACAATGTTATGAATTTTTTCGGCACTAAATAAAAAATGTGTTTTAGATTTTATTTTATTTTTCATATTTCAGTCTACAACTAAGTTGTAGAATAACCTTGTAACCTTAAATGTCTTTCCTTTTCTACCTTACTGTGGTCTACCCCATATTTGTTAAAACAAATACTCAGAACGACTATGGGAAAAAAAAGTGTGACACTGGTCCTAATTCCAAAATTCTTATTATTTTTAATCTTCCCCAAAAAAACTTATGATGATTTGTGTTATCACACAAATTTGTTTTGTATTTGTGTTATTATTTGTGTATTAACACAAATAATAACAAATTGGCCGGTCGGATTGAGATAACCTTACAACTAAAAATTGAAAACAAAAAAAACTAGACTTATTACTTACTTCGTTTGTGGTTGTATGAACTAATTCTAAAGCCAAAACAAAAAAAATGCTAGATGTGATTAAAATATGAAATAATTTTATCAAATTTAAGAAATATGTAAGCGATCTTATAACAGATCAATACAACTTGAATCATATTCGGTTTAATAATTATTTTGTGAGATAGCTAAAGAAAACAACAATCAGTGCATTTCTAGATATAAATACTTTTGAACTTTCTAATTTTTAGGAAAACGCAAAAAACACGTCAATTAATATAGGGGGCGGCATTAAATCATATTTAAGGTTGCTGGGAAATGCACCCTCTCAGCCCCTGTATCATCCCTTTATTTATTTTAAATTACTTCCCTCTTTTTTTATTTTATATCTGGATTCTGCTTTTTGTACTGATTCCAAAAATGTATAATTTGGCTTGAAGTGATTAGTTTATGAGATAGACAATTTTCTTTTAACAAGATAGTATCTCTCTCACCATAATTGACTGGAACAAAATAGGTTGTGGCGTAATTTAAACTCTTTAAATATTTAACCGTACTATTTGTAGTACTTTCAAAAACCATGAAACAAAAAACTTCACTTTTTATTAAAGTTTTATCAAAGGTTTTCGATATTATTTGGACATTTATTTTAATCGGTTAATAGCCAATGATAATTTGTTATAACTTGTAACAGACTATTTTGATACGTGTGCAATTTGATCGCTGAATTAGTTTACACTTAGAAAGAATCGTAATTGTAGTATCATACTACAAACATAATAATTGTGCAAGAGTTGCTGCCAGAATTTTTAATGAAACACACGACAATAGACATGCAACTCATAAGTATGTGATTGAACTGATGCAGAAATTTAGAGCAACAGGGTCAGTTTGCAATAAAAAACATAACCGATAGGGACTTGTAAATAACGAAGCAATCCAAGTAGCCTTTTTAGGACAAGTTAACTTAGAAACTGAGCAATCACAGTCACTGTCAACAATAAGAAGAGCAATCGGTGTTTTATCTTCTACAGCCTTCTGAGTCCTCCATATAGTTAAATTTCATCCATATAAAATTAAATTAGTACAAGAGTTAAATGAAGAAGATTTTGATCATCGTCTCGAATTTTGCATATTAATGACACAATGCTTTATTAACAATCCAAAATTGTGAAACAATATTTGTTTTTGGAATAAATGCTCATTTTCATTAAATGGTTTGGTGAACAGGCAAAATTGCCGATACTGTGCTGAGTGATTCACATATTGTACGTAAATTTCACCCACAGCATCCTCAAAGGTTAAACATATGGTGTGGTATCCTAGGTGATCACATTATTGGACCCTTCTTTATCACTGGAAACTTAAATGGTGAATCGTATCTTGAATTACTTAGACAAGTGGTTGATGGTATTAGAACAATAGTGGAAAATGATAACCTCTCCGAAGATTTGGTTGTATTTCAACATGATGGAGCTCCTCCGCACTTTGCTCTGCCTGTGTGACAATTTTTAAACGAAACGTTTCCCGCTCGTTGGATGGTTAGAAGAGGATAGATGATGGATTGGCCACCTAGGTCACCGGATTTAACACCCCTGGACTTCTTCTTATGGGTGTATTTAAAACAAAAATGTATGCTACACAACCAGAATCTCTAGATGATTTACGACAAAGAATAGAGGATGAATGTCGACATTTAAATGCAGACGTGTAAAGCAATGTCAGAGAAGAATTTCAAAATAGATTGTACTATTGAATGTATGTGAATGGCAGTCATTTTGAACAATAATTGTAAACATTTTTGGTAGTGAAATGTTTATTCTAAATGTTTGTAATAAAACTGTTAAAAAAATAATTTATTTTCAATCCAGTTTTCTTGCATTTGTATTTATTTTTCTCATAAACAAATCAATTCAAGTATCATGTGTTATACATTTTTAAAATCAGTACAAAGAGGAGAATCCAAATATCAAATAAAAAAGGGGGACTTAATTTTAAAAAATAAAGTGATGATACGAGGGTGCATTTCCCAGCTACCTCAAATATGATATAATGTCCCCTTCCTTTAAATATTAATTGATGTATTTTTTAGTTTTTCCTAAAAATTAGAAGTTCCAAAGTTATTTAGGTGGATAGTTTTATCTGAAAAGCACTGTATATTTTTTATTACTTTTGTATCTCGACACTATTCACTTTAACTGGAGTTATTTAAATGATGTACATATTTGTTTGTCAACCGATTCATGTGATTAAATATATTACTATTCTGTTCTAACTTGTTTTTATATTCCTTTCATACTGATTTGAATTGTTTTTTATTTCCAATACCTTCTTGATTTTCTTTAATTTTTTCCCTTTATAGTTTCTTTACATTATCATGATTTAATTTAGCCACATTCCGTTTAATTTGATTCTGTCTAGTTTTTTTTTATTAAAAAAAATTTATTTACAAAATTCTTTATAAACGTTCTATTAAGCGGGATATTACAGAACGTTTTCTTAAGAACTATTTTCATCATCCAGTGGCGCACCCAGGGGGGTTAAAAACCCCCAGAACCCTATTCCGACACTGTTATTCACAAATTTCAAGTACTTAAAATGGTGGAGGTTGCATAAAAAAATTTCGGTGCCCAACCAAATAGATTAGATTCATAAAGGATTTTTTAAATAATTTTTTTGTGATTTATGGTATACAGCCAGCTATAGGCATTTATAATTCTCTTCTTTTGATAAACAGTATGTGGTCGGTCTGCGATTCTGTTTTCCGATCTTGGCATCTTCATGTTATTTTCTGCACTTTAGGGTACTCAAACTTCGTGCTATTTATGGTCATGTTCTTTATCTCTGTTATCAGGCTTAATTTAAGTCCGTTATCATTTGTTCTTTCGTGGAATATGTTTTTTGTGACTACATTAAGGATTTACTCTTATTTGCCTATTGACCATTAAAATCACTTATTAATATTACCATGCTTTGTTTTGATAGTTTTCTGCTGCAACTGTGGGAGCGTTAACATTTATTATATCTAAGTTATTTGGTTTGGCTTCTATTTTTAGGGAAATTATTCATCCAGTTATTTGTCTTATCTCCTTTATGTTATCTCCTTTCTTGCCAAATATGCGGTAGTTCAAATATTTGTTGATTTTTGATGATTTTTATATTTCCTTAAAATTGAAATGTAAAAAGAAAAACTTTAAACTGCGCTACTGATGAAATCAGCGATGCAAAAAAAGTTGTTCTACATTTTCAAC